GCTCCAGAAAGAAAACAATAAATGTCAGGTTCAGATTACAGAATATATCTTTTCTGTCACTGTGTCAGATTAGGTGAATGTTACGTCATAAATGAATGTTGATCTCCAACCAATCATAGCTTGGCTCTCATGTCATGTTACTGGGCAGAAAAAAAGGGACAAACAAACTAAATAAACAATTATGCAACAAGTGACAGATACTAGCAGTCAAAGAAAGATCGCAAGAGAGGCGAGTTTGCTTTTTACTTCACTTTGTTTAAGTACCTACTTACAGAACTATTACTGTCTCTTATGTTAATGGGTTGGTTTTTAACGGGTCTTTTATCTATGAAAAGGCTGCTTTTAGTATTTTTCTTTTGCCCCCCAGAGCCTTCTTTACAGCATACCTCTCATTCTCAATCTAACAAAATGGTAATTTGAATCTCACAGGAATTATCTAAAAGATCTATAAAAAGTTGTTATGTTAACTTCTTTTTACTGAGAAGTATCAGAATAGAGCTCTCTAAAATAAATTTGTTCTATTTATTTTTTACTTTAATATTATGAACTACTGTATAGTAACATCCGTGGTGTTATGGGCCAATCTTGACCCATATTTTCAATTCCAAGCATAGCTGGTTGTCGTATCAAATCAGATTATGTAATATTTGCCTGGATTGCTGGACATGTATCGCCATAAGGAGCATTTTCCTTGGGGCAAAATCTTCACCCACAGTCACCTCAGGCTCTGGGTTGACCTTCCGTTAAAATGAGCTGCACACATCTCTCCCATACATCCCTGATGGGAGCAAGCTAGTCAGACAGTGCTCTAGTGTCTCTGTTGTAAAAATCTGCTGATATTATTCAAAAGTCTGAAGTAACATTGTTGCCTGGAAAATAGTTCTGCCTGTCGATGTGTCAGAGACTGTCAGTGATCTTGTTGCTGTGTTCACTCCAGCATACCGTCATTCCAAATGTGTCATGGACTGCTTGGATCCATGACAACAGTACAAGGCCTCCAACAGATGTTACCACTTTTGGATTTGTATGTTTCGGCAGGAGCAGCTTGACCTCCTCATCTAAGTTGTATCATTGTCCTCTGGTTGATAGTTATATCGTCCTCCTCCTCCTCAGAAAGGGGGTCATCCATATTGCTGTGCTGTTCTGGTTCTGCTGAGGCTTACCCACATGACCGACTACACCAAACATTATGCCACATTTAACTAAAAAACATATTTACAGCCCGACTGTAATCTTTATAGTTAGTTCTTCACTTGGTAACAGCTCTAAGGAGGGTGAGCTTTTTTAAAATTATCCACGCGTCCTGTTTGTTGCTTCTGGACTTTTGATGGAACTTTAATGTTTTGATTTACTACCAGTTTGTTCTGAACGCTGCCTCCCTAGGTCTCTGCATTCAGGTCCACACTTCCTCACACTCCAAGCAAGATTAAAAACAATCTAACAGCTTTGTGTTTTGTTGGCACTGGTTGACCTGAAGGGATTTACGACCTCATCATCGTTCATTTTTCTGTCTGTATCATTCAGATTGAGAAGTTTTTGTGATGATATTATGTAGAACTCGGCATAAATGTACCACGAAGTAAACCAAAGCACAGTTTAGGACAAACATACCACATGCTCCACAAAGGATAAAAATAACGGGGAAAGATTAGGATCTTATTCCGTTTTGTTTGATTCACAGCAAACAAACTCTTTCCCTTTTATGAAAGGAATGAAAAAAATCACTACAGACAATAAGACGTGTGTGCACAGAAGCAGAGGTTAAGCAGAGTAAGGGTA